ACACTGATCACTGCAATCTGCAGCAGCTAGCAGAGCCTACATACACAATTTACATGTTAAAAAAATTAAGTTTCAAATTCATCATCTAGTTGAAGTCATAATTATTCAACCAGCTAGTCTTGAAGTCGTTGGAAGTCATTAATAGACTTCAGGTGAGTTTAGATCATTAGTTAGACCCAATACAGGTCCTTCTCAAAAAATTAGCATATTGTGATAAATGTCATTATTTTCCATAATGTAATGATAAAAATGAAACTTTCATATATTTCAGATTCATTGCACACCAACTGAAATATTTCAGGTCTTTAATTGTTTAAATACTGATGATTATGGCATACAGCTCATGAAAACCCAAAATGCCTGTCCCAAAAAATTAGCATATTTCATCCCACCAATGAAAGACAAGTGTTTTTATTACAAAAAACACCAACCTTCAAATAATCTTGTTCAGTTATGCACTCAATACTTGGTCAGGAATCCTTTTGCATGAATGACTGCTTCAATGCGGCGTGGCATGGAGGCAATCAGCCTGTGGCACTGCTGAGGTGTTATGGAGGCCCAGGATGCTTCGATAGCGGCCTTGAGCTCATCCAGAGTGTTGGGTCTTGCGTCTCTCAACTTTCTCTTCACAATATCCCACAGGTTCTCTATGGGGTTCAGGTCAGGAGAGTTGGCAGGCCAATTGAGCACAGTAATACCATGGTCAGTAAACCATTTACCAGTGGTTTTGGCACTGTGAGCAGGTGCCAGGTCGTGCTGAAAAATGAAATCTTCATCTCCATAAAGCTTTTCAGCAGATGGAAGCATGAAGTGCTCCAAAATCTCCTGATAGCTAGCTGCATTGACCCTGCCCTTGATAAAACACAGTGGACCAACACCAGCAGATGACATGACACCCCAGTGACTGTGGAAACTTGACACTGGACCTCAAGCAATGTGAATTCTGTGTCTCCTCTCTTCCTCCAGACTCTGGGACCTTGATTTCCAAAGGAAATGCAAAATTTACTGTAATCAGAGAACATAACTTTGGACCACTCAGCAGCAGTCCCAGGTGAGATGCTTCTGATGCAGTCTCTTGTTCAAAAGTGGCTTGACCTGGGGAATGCGGCACCTGTAGCCCATTTCCTGCACACGCCTGTGCACGGTGGCTCTGGATGTTTCTACTCCAGACTCAATCCACTGCTTCCGCAGGTCCCCCAAGGACTGGAATCGGCCCTTCTCCACAATCCTCCTCAGGGTCCGGTCACCTCTTCTCATTGTGCAGCGTTTTCTGCCACACTTTTCCCTTCCCACAGACTTCCCACTGAGGTGCCTTGATACAGCACTCTGGGAACAGCCTATTTGTTCAGCAATTTCTTTCTGTGTCTTACCCTCTTGCTTGAGGGTATCAATGATGGCCTTCTGGACAGCAGTCAGGTCAGCAGTCTTACCCATGGTTGCAGTTTTGAGTAATGAACAAGGCTGGGAGTTTTTAAAAGCCTCAGGAATCTTTTGCAGATGTTTAGAGTTACGTCGTTGATTCAGATGGTTAGGTTAATAGCTTGTTTAGGGAACCTTTTCATGATATGCTAATTTTTTGGGACAGGCATTTTGGGTTTTCATGAGCTGTATGCCATAATCATCAGTATTAAAACAATTAAAGAACTGAAATATTTCAGTTGGTGTGCAATGAATCTGAAATATATGAAAGTTTCATTTTTATCATTACATTATGGAAAATAATTACCTTTATCAAAATATGCAAATTTTTTTAGAAGGACCTGTATATTGTGATGAGCTTGTGCAGGACTCGTCAGTGGAGGCAAAGAGACTAATCGGGGGCAGGTGTGTTCAACCAGTAGCATCACACTGAATAAAGGTCTCACACAAACTGAGGGGGAGAGCTTTTGCAGTGGTTGTAGCAGCACCCTTTTGGAAGGAGGGTGTCGTTCGCAGTCATTTAGGGCTGCCGGCGACAAAGACACTAAAAGACAGGTGGTTAGGTGTTCCTGTGTCAGGGAGGCTGGGTGCCTCCTTTAGACAGGGCTGGGCTTTAGTGGGGTGCACTCATCACCTCGGCTCCTGCTTCTGTTCCTGTGAGCTGCTCTGATTTGGTGTGGAGCAAATCCAGGAGGTCAGATCGTTGTCCATCTAAGTCATCACTGGGGTGTTGGACAACATCACAAGCTTAGACCCTGGGGAGGGGTCTTGCCGCTGAGCGAGCTAAGTGAACTCTTTTAATCTTTATTATAGGCCTTTATTTCTTAGCTTGGGGTGGGATTTTTTAGGAGTAGATGCACAGATGAGACTATTTCATAACCTTCTGGTGTGTGGTGATTGATGGTTCTGACATTCTAGGCAAAGTCTTCTGCCTGTGTGACCCACAAATTTTTATTACAATATTCCTCCTGTTTTTGTAAAAGCTGGACAAATTTTTTATGAAAATTGCAGGAAGTATTTTTTTTTAAGAACACCTAGAAATAATTCACTTTTGGAGTATCTGAAGATGGTTGGTACCACCAACTGACCTTAGAAAACACAAAAGTGGCTTCAGCTCAGTCAGTTTCACATCTATTGAGCTAAAATTTGGTGTGGTAGTAGCTGAGAGTCAGTCACAGCACGTACTGAGTGGGACATTCCTGATGTCACGTGGTTAGATTGTTCATAAAAGGTATTTTCAAGGGCATAAGATGATCTTATTTTAAACCTGGCATTAAGGGCAGCAGGCGATTCCTTCAAGGAATCCTAAGCCTTCAGTTCTAAAATTACTCGAGATTTGTTTGGTATAATAATTATAAATTATAGATTATTTTAACTACTTGATCCAGCCTCTGGTTGTGTACATGTGAACAGAGCATTGGACCACTTTAGTGAGCATGATGGATGCACTTGGACGTGCACAGCTTTTTACGTCACTGCGTTCTCATTAAGGTCTTGCTGGAGAGTCGAGTACAATGAAGCCAGTGCACGAGTCACGTCGGATCTATATGCTTTGAGTTATTTCCAGAGATCTGCTGCAAATCCATCACCGACGAGACGAAATGCAATGGACATGGTGAAAAGGAAATTGATGTGGGATCGGTTTAAAAATGACAGAGTCAAATGTTTTTTGTTTTTTTTTCCCTCTACACTTTAAGGAGAAGGATAATTAAAATAAAGGTGGAATGAATGTACAATCTGGAAAGAGATTCAACCACATTCACGGTTTCTTGTGAGGAGGCGGGAAATCCATCCAGATCCAGTGGAAATCTATTAAAATAAAAGATCAAAGGTCTGATTTACAATTGGACACAGCAGCAGGAAGGAAAGAAGGAAGGGTTCTTCGTGCAGGTGAACGTGGTGGAACATATCAGAACCAGCCTTCATAGAGAACCTGCTGATGGAAGTTCATGCAGAATTTAAACTGTAAACACGTGCACACTCCTGCTCCATCTGCTGTGCTTGTGCGTCTGTGTACACGTTGGGAGGGCACACTCATCCTCCGCTCCATGCATGTGCATGCACTCACTCGGGGAGGAGCAGCGAGTCCTGAATGAATTCCCTCCTCACGTAATGAACTCTTCTCTGCAACCCATCATTTTATAGAGTGTAGTGGAGATGTTTTACAGAGGAGCAGAGTTGAGACACACCGGTAAAAGCAAAGACGGAGCCAAACGAGTCCATGTTCCTTCAAGACGACATCCTCCTTTCAACAAGAAAGGACTTATTGCACCTCGTCTAAACGGTCCATGAGAAGCTGCTGGGCTGGAAGACTACCAGTAGCTGATGTGGGCCTGAGCTACTTGTCTGCTTTAAGGTTGAGAGAACAGCCGCTTCAGATTAATGTCCACAAACACAGGCTGTTAGAAACAGTCTAATGCTTCAAAACAGCTCAAAGAGACAGAAGTTCAGACGAAGGATCAAACAAAACAAAGAGAGGAGGAACGTGACAGAATGGAATGGGATCATCAGTTCTGTCTATCAGTCTGTACCTGTCCTGCACATCTCAAGTCCAGAACAAAGGCCTCACCAGCTCAGTCCACAGATCAACATCCTGCTAATGTCACCCCGACTGCCATGCACAAGGATGATGATGAAGACGAGAGTTGGGACAAAAACAAAAAAAGGCTTCAGAGTGTGACAAAACAAATGGATATGATGGAAAAGTGTGAGGAAAACATGCAGGAACATCCAGGGTTGTGTGGGATGAGAAGGAGCAGAGGCAGGAACAGAACTAATGACTGATGGACTCGCAGAACAAAAAGAACAAATCCGACATGAAATGAGATTTTACTGAGTCCACACTGCCATTAGTACCAAACTGAGTGAAGCTCAATGAATATCAGTTACAACTGAGACTAAAAATCATTAAAAGTGCTAACTTTTATTTCTACAACAAGTTTAAAAACATAAACTTCCAATATATAAGCTGTGCCTGTAAAAACATTCTCACTATGGATGCCTGTGGTTCAATGTGCAGCAAAAGCTGCCAGTTTTTTTCCACTTGAGCACCTGCCCCCCCAAAATATCTGTGCACGCCACTGGCTGTTTCAATATTTTGGAGGGGTCTGTACGAGGACAACAGATACAAAGATCAACTCATCTGTCGTCAGTGCTAATAAAACAAGATAACAGAAAGGTTAGTCATGCATGATTCTGATATCAGCAGATGGCGCTGCAGTCAAACCAAAGAGTCTGTTTAAAAAACAAGATTAAAGCAACTGAGTCATGTCACAAGTTTATCAGGTTTGTTGTATATAAAGATAAAGACAAACCTGTTTGTTCAAATGCTATCTTACAGTATTTGGATGGACATTTTGCCTTCCTCCAGAACAAGATGGCGGCGGCTGCGTTTGTTTGGCCAAGCGGACGTCATCAAGAAATCTCAAGATACATTTGTTACTGTCACAAATAAAAGACGAGGACTGAACCAAAACAATGAACTGTGTTTAAAAAAACTGGATATTTGATTTATGCTTTTAATAAATGACACGTAAAAAAAACAAACACAAAAGCAAATTTGTGGAATACTTTTCACCTGGTGAGGCAAAAAAACAAACAAGCTGCGACAAATAAATACAAGTGACCCGAGGAGCCTCAGATCGAAGTTTGTGCACGTAGAGTTATTTCTTGCTGCTCCAGAGCAGCGATGAGGTCCTGCAGAGGCTCCGTGTCCTCAGGGTCCAGAAGTGCGTTCTGCTGGCAGAAGAGTGTGAAGTGTGTGAAAAGTGTGTTGAGGTGAGGGTGCAGGCCAAGCGCCAGCGTCTCGCTGTAGTGGGCCCAGTAAATGTGAGCCAGAGTCCTGAACAAGAGTAAGAAGACCTTCTGGACCAGAAAGACGAAGCCTGTTGGGAACGCCGCACCTGAGGAGACGAGAACAGCTTCAAACTGGAACCGGGACAGGTCGTGATACGACAGATGTGAACACAGTTTACCTGCTTTTGTGGGGAACACGTCTTCATCAGTCAGCAGGTCGTGAATGTAGGACATGGCGTAGTCAAAGTAAAGCGGGGCGGAGCACTTCAGCTTCCTGCCGTGGTCGTCGATCCAAACGTAAACCCTGAAACACCAACAGACCCGGTCAAGTGCTTCTGGAGGTTTAAACAGACGAGAGCAGTCTGAGCTCTGCTTAAAACCTTGAAGGAAAACAAAGGTGTAATTTTTAGATTTTTTCACATATTATAAAAACCTCTCAACGTATTTATCCATTGCCTTTCCAGCAACAACTTAATATGTGGAGTCAAACTGATCCAAGATGGCCGTCACAGCTACATTCAGAAATCAGCACAACATTCTGATTTGACGTTTCAGTTGAAAAACTCAGTTGTGTGTTTTGCGCTGAGTTGTTGCGACCGGGGTTTGAACTGAAATCACGAGAAGTCCATGTCCCTGTTTGTGAGACTGATGTATAATAAAGTGGATCCTCATGTGCATCAAGTACACGGAATAAAAATATAGTAGTCCCTCGCCACTTCGGTTTGTTTTATTATTTTTATTTATACAGGTACCGGTAGTCTCATCAAGTCAGGAGAACTCATTTTCAAGAGAGACCTGTTTTTGGGAGCATATGGGGGTTAAGGGTCTTGCTCAGGGGCCCAGAGTGCAGCAAATGAGGGTGTTTCACCTTTTCCACCCACGTTTTGATGTTAGTCTGGGGAGTGGAACCGACTTTCCGATCACAGGCCCATCTTCTCTAACCTCTGCGCCACCCTATCACTACCCCTCCCAGTTTTTCATGGACTCGCTCTATCGCGGTTTTTCAAAGTAAGATTGGACATGAGACACAGTTGGCTGACTGATGGATGAGCTGCACGATCCACATGGAATTTTTATTTAAAATAAATTTAAATATCATTTAGCTCCTGCTGCACCTGTGTGCAGCCCACAGGTGCAGAGGAGGCTTCCTCCTGCAGCGTGTCAGACCTCCACTCTGCAGAGGAGAAGTGTGTGTGGCTGAGAGAGCAGCCAGAGGCAGAGAGCGGAGTTCATGATATTCTGTGCTCTTTTAGAGCGTTTAGAAAGATTGTTTAGAATATTGCATTCCTTGATTTTGGGAAATCTGCCAATAATTGCATGGGAAACCGATTTTTTTTCTTCTTCGTTTTAACAATTGTCTGAACTTCATTTATATGTCAGAGCACTACCTCATGTCCAGTTAAAACAAGTTTGTATTGTTTCTAGGCTATTGTTCAAGGATATGTTTTTCAATAAAATAAGATTGGAAAATTGAAGGTACATTGTGACTTTATAACATCTGACAGTGTCGCTTATAAAACAAAATCAGTATCGGCCAGAATCGGCAAGTCAGACGTTTTAGAAATCTGTGATTAGGCCAGAAAACTGCAATCGGTGCACCCCTAATTGCAAAAGTGTTGGAAGGGTTAAAACACCTTAAAAAAAAAAATAATAATAATTTTTATATAAATATATAATATATACACAGTAGTCCCTTGTTTATCCCACGCTCTTGCAATATTCTAAACAATGTTTCTAAACTGTAAATGCTCTAAAAGAGCACAGAATGTCATGATTTCCCTCTCTGTGCCTCCACTGCTCTCAGTCACCCAGTGTTGCCAGGTGAGAAATGTAGGATTATCGTAATGCACTATAGTAGTGATGGGTCCGCTTCCAGACCGGCTCTGCTTCTTCTTTTCTTTTCCTCACCCATGGGGCGGGCGCAGCGTACTATTCAGCCAATCATGGCCGTTGTTCTGAGGCAAACGCAAACACGTCACTCGTAGGTCACATTTAGAAAAGCACGATTGGCTGGAAATTCCAGCCAATCGAGCATCCGTTTGCGGACACAGATGCCTTCAGGGTTCACAAAAAATCTCCGACAGGCAGTTGCGAGAGGCTGATGACGACAGATGACAACCACACATTCACAGAATGGTCAAATGATCGTATATTTGCCCTTTTTTGGGATTACTGATCGTACAGAGGGCAAAACTGTCGTACAAATACGATAATTATCGTACACCTGGCAACACTGCAGCCACCTGCCAGCGCTCTTGGCCATGCCCACTTCTCCGCTCTGCATGTAGATCAGCTGCAGCAGGAAGTTTATCCTGCAGTAAGGGCTGCACAGAGGTGCAGGAGGAAGCTTTTTCTGCAGCTTTGAGCTGCACAAAGGTGCAGCAGGTGCTAAACAATTTAATCTCCTGAGACCCTGTGTCCACATATGGGGACATTACATTTTGGCTTTGCAGTACCTTATACTCCACTCTGTTCAATAGTGTTTTATACTTTGTTAAGCCATGCTAATGTTGTTGTGTTATGTTGTAAAATAAGCCCATTGTCCCCATCTGAGGACATTTGAATTTTTTTACAAAAGTACGTCATAACCATGTAACAATACAACTTCCTGTTCGAAGAGGAAGCTTTATTTATACACAAATCAGGTCCATCTAATCACAAATATCTAGGAGATATGAAAAATGCATAGCAAACCAGAGCTCCGGTCTCAGGAGGTTAAAATTAGTTTTAAATAAAAATTCCACGCAGATCATGCAGCTCATCCATCAATCAGACAATTGTGTGTCATGTCCAATCTTATTTTGAAAAACTGCGATGAAGAGAATCGGCTATAAACGAACCACAAAGTAGCGAAGGACTACTGTATACATACACTAAAATAAACTACTACTTACTACTTGTAGTACTATTCCTACTTCATGGTTTTTCCACCTATCACAGGGATTCAGGGTACAGATCCCTGTGATAAACGAGGGACTACTGTACTAAAAATTAATGTTTGAAATGTTTCATCACTTTGTTCCCGTCACCTTGAACTTTGACCTTCCACTTCTAATATTTAGCTTTCCACCTGGTGACTGTGGAAACTGGTTTTATAATCTCAATTCCTATGACTAAATTAAATATACTTAAAACATTTATAATGAATCAATCGTCTTCTCTTAAAACATAAATGAGCATAAACCAAGTTTGTGCTGGTTGTCCTTGAACGTGGCTTGATCTGGTGATGGACTTTAAAAAAATTAAACATTTAGCCTCTCATGGTGGGTGAAGTAGTTTTTATTTCAAAGCGTGTGCTGGAACTTACGTGTTGCCTGGTCCACATGCGGTCGGGCAGCTGCTGGGGGTGCAGAACTCTGACAGCGCACTGGAGAACAAGTTTATGTGCTTGAAAAAGGCCACGGCTGAAAGATCAATAAGACGAGCGTTGCAGGGTCTGTCGGTGAAGATAAGGCAGCGAGCAGCAGTAAGACCAATCTGTGAATCCTTACTGTTGCTGGCGAGCCACTCCGCCTTGTCGACGCCTGGCGGCAGCTTGGTGAGGATAAACATGTCCATGTTGGTGATCATCTGGCACACATTCTGCTGCTGCAGATACGGCTGCTCCTCCTGATTATTGTTATTGATTCCCCTTGGGAAGACAGCTCAAAATTAATGAAGCGGGAAGAGAGAAGCTGCAAGGTGGAAGAATACTAGGCCAGTGGATTAATTATTTCTGCTGCAGTCCATAGATAAAACCCTCCATTATCTGCCTTGAACTTCTGAAGCAGCACAGAAAAATATGCAAGTGCTGCTGGTACAGTGGAGCTGAATGTCCAGCAGTGAAGGTGGTTGGTGTTAATGAAGCAGGTTGCAGCAGTGGTCGCTGATGCAGAGGCCTGCTCTCCTTTCTGCATCAGTTCAGCATGGGAACACAGTCAGGCTGCAGGCAGGGGACACTCGATGCAAATATCAACGTGAGCTGGAGAGTCAGACTTGGCAACATGATTTGACTTTATTTAAAGCAGGAAGCTGTTGGAGCAAAAATGTTTTAGTCTTTTTAAAAAGCTTTTTGCCCTCATCTGTATGTGTTTGCATCTTTAACATAATCTCACAGCTCTCTGAACAGATCTTAATCTTGAACAACTTTAAAAACTAATAATTTGCCTGACATCTACAGCTGAATACCTTTTTGGAATCGAGTTGATCCGAGATGGCTGACGCAGCTGATCAACCACAGGAGCAACAAAAATGGCTACAACTAGAAATCTGTTGCAGTAGCAGCTGAGACTGATCCCAAACTAATCGTGCAAGGTCAAAGTTTTAACTACTGGAGTCAACTGACCGTTGGCAAAAGATCACGAACTGCTAGACAAATTTTAATTAAGCTTTCTGGGAATGTTTACTGCCTGTAAATCTATAACCGATTAATGTTAGAAGCCAACCCAGTTCAAGATGGCTGCCACAGCCAACTGACTGGCTATGATTCAATCAGTTTTACTGACATTATACTAAAACTTGATGTAACGATAGCTGAAAGTCCTTCACAAGATACTGAGCGCTTCACGTAGCACGAGACCTTTGCTTCAAACTTTTGCCATTAACTACCCAGTAGTAGAGTTGACCCAGTTTGTGTTAGCAAAATATCTCACGAAAAACTAGACAGATTTTAATTAACCTTTCAGAAAGTAACTGTGGGTCATAAATCTACAACTGACTGACTTTTGGAATGATTTAATTTCAGATGGCAGCCACAGATACTCTGCATTCATTCAACGAATGGTGGGTTTCAAATTTAAGAAAATAAAAGCATTTTGAGTTGCAGTGAACATTTCAAAGTAAGGCAGATGAAGCAGCTGCCCGGAGGGTTTTTAGATGTCCAAACATGCAGCAGCTGAGGGTTTACACTGTGTGACCTTGCCCACAGAGATAAGGAAAACACTGTACTCTGAGGTTTCACCACACACACACTCCTCTCTTGGTGTGAACATGCGTTGCCGTCATACAGACAGAAAATTTGTTTAATGGTTTAAACAGGAGGCCTTTTGTCTAAAGGTGCAGCTCGAAGCGGAGGAAGGAAAAAGTGACAGGAGGGAATGTAAACATGGGTGTCAAACTTTCCTAACAGCCACAGGAACTTCTAACATCCTGTTCTGCTTCACGGCATTAACTCAGTTACCACCTCTGGGCTACTAGTTGTCAGCACAAACAACCCGGAGCTCCGTGTAACGTTGTGTTTGTGTGTAAACACATTCCCTCGTTGCACGGCTTCCCTGCTTTCAGCTGGGAAGAGGAACAAAGTTATTCCAAAACAAAGCGAGACACATTTTCCTTCTGCTGGTTTAAACTGCCTCCTCAACATGTGTTACTGGGGTAAGAAGAATTCACAATCGTTGATGGCATCAGACAAATATGCAACACGCACACTCTCGTGCACTTTAATCTGGAGGACATTCCTCTGGTGCATGTGCAGCCAAACTTCCAAGCCATTAATAGTTGCTGCTTTAAATTTATCAGAGTGACTGCACAACCACCTGAACTCACTTCCAGAACAGAAAGGAAACTATAAGGAAAGAAGGAAAATGCAACTTACAGTTTCTCGTTGTGGATGTTTGTAGGCTGAGTCTTGCTGTCTGCCTTGGAAGCCGAGGGGTAACTATGGCAACCCCCCATGGCGTAAAGCTAAGAGCAGAGCTGTTTGTTGTGCCAGCCCCACTTTTCCATCACACTTCGGCACACCATGGAGAACATATGTCAACCCCAGCTCACAAACTGACTCATACAGCTGCCACGCACACACACAAATCTCTTTTTACCAAGTTTCACCAAATGACAGATGGAGCAGCCTCAGGAGCTGAGGATTAGACCTCAGTGGTACAAACACATGAAGCTTCAGTCATCTCTTTCTCTTTCCCTCCAGTCATCCAGTGTCAGTGTGTTTATGTCTCCTTTGTCTGGAGTCCCACACCCCGCAGGCTCCTCCTCTCTTCACTGGAAGCAGACAGGCAGGTTTCTCCACAACCCATAAAAGTACAACACACAACTCCTCCTCCCTCTCCACTCACAGCACACACACTTGCACACAACTTCACGTGTATTTACGCTCTCCACAGAGGGGGCAAGCAGGTGCAGAAAACAAGCAGAAAAATGGGTTTTCAGTTGGAAAATAAAAATTAAACTTGAACTTTTGTGAAAATGCTGTGTGAAAGCATGCTGAATGAGGTTTTGCTGAAATTTGTTACATAAGCTGAAAGTGGGTTGTTAAAGTTAAAAGATAAAAAGCAGAACATGGTGTGTGTGTGTGGGGGGGGGGGGGTGCTAAAACTGAGCAAAAACAGTAGCTAAAAGTGGTAAAAGTCTTGTTAAAAGCAGATTAGCTCACGGTACCAAAAAGATGGCTTAAAACTAAAAAGGGCTTTTTTTTCCTCTCTCTTTTGGCTTCTCCCGTCTTTTAGGGGTCGCACGAACACTGTGCAATTATTTTTATGCCGGATGCCCTTCCTGACGCAGCCACAGACCGCCGAGCTACCACAGCCCTCTGTGTGGAGCAGGGTGCCTGGGGGAGCAGATGGTGGGGGTTAAGGGCCTTGCTCAAGGGTCCAGAGTGGGGCAAATGAGGGTGGAGGCAGGTGTGGGTGCTTCACCTATTCCATTCACAATAATAATAATAATGTGTTGTTATTATTATTATTATTATTATGTGTTGTCATCATTGTATGTTCCCCATATATTGGCAAAACTGGCTCTCTGCATTTAACCCATCCACCCGCAGGTGGAGCAGTGGGCAGCTACTGAAGGTGCCTGAGAAGTAACTGGGGATAAGGTGTGCTGCTCAGAGACACCACGAGATGTGCAATGACTGGGAATCAAAGCTGGGACTTTTGGGTCCCGAGGTGGCTGCCCTGCTTCTGCTCCATCTCGAACATATTGATGTTGTCGGTAGAGATGTCATTTCTAACTCGAACCTGAAACCCGGCCCGACCCGTTATAATGTGATTAACGGGCAGGCCGGGCTGGTCTCAGGCTTTTATTAGGTCAGGATCAGCTGCGGTCTAATTATATGATAACACGGCCTGCCATAATATCCACCAGCCACACGTGGCCATATCACCATGAGCGACCGGCCTTGAAAGAGGTAAAAAGTTCAGTTAAGCTTCAGGTGGGACTGTACTGCCAGGCAGTGCATCGCCCAAATGGACGTTCATTCAGCCGCTGCACTCAGCGGACACGCGCGGCCGACGACCCAAACAGGTGAGAGCCCAAAGCAGACACGAGTGTCAGAGGAGCTGTCCGCGTGTCTCAGTAATTCAGAAGAATGCACTCAGAAACGGGGTTTAAATGTTTTTTTACGGCCATAAAAGGACAAACACCTCTCAGCTCCGATCTTATGCTGCTTTTATTCAGCTGCGCGTCCCCGACCGTTAATAACTATGTCGGGTTTTTTTCCAGGTTTGGACCTGTAATTACTGTTAATTCGTCAGGTTGGGTGGGGTTCGGACTGCAGGCTGAGCAGATTTTTTTGGGCCCGAATGCAATTCTAGTTGTTGGTACCAGGAGTTGAACCGGCAATCTTCCAAACACTGGCCCACCTTCTCTAACCTCTGCACCACCACTCCCTCCTAAAAACTAAAAATTAAATCTTAAAACTGAAAGTAGGAGCCAAAAAATACAAGCATGTTGAAACAGACTTCCAAAAGGTTTTTTGAAAGATTTTAAGAGATCTTAATGTTTATCCTATAGGAAAAATATAAAGATATACTTTTTTGAAAAGTATGAAATTAAAATAATTTAGAAAAAATGAATAAAAAGTGATGAAACTGCAAATAAGGCATGGAGAAAAAACAAAGAAAACTTGGAAAACAAGAGTGTGAATGTTAGCTTTTACACACATGTGCTAAAGATTGAGGACGACTATAAAAAGGAGGTTGGAGCAGCTGAAAGTGTGTAACAGAGGAATGTGATGACACACACACAAACAAGCCATGGTTTGAAACCGCACACCCACAAGTTATATACGGATAAAACTACAGGGTGAAAATGGAGAATAGGAGCACAATGCGAGGGTCTTAAAGCCCACCCCTTTGTAACATTTTACCTGTGCCTGAAGCGCAGTTATGTGACAGGCGGGTTTCTGTTTGCACTGAGGGAGATAATGTGAGGGTGTAGCTCACATGTGGAGAGAAAACCCAGGAAGCAACACGATCCACCCCCTCACCTTTCCCCAAGGTAAACATGGAGATCCCACCCTCCGTCTTTATGTTTGCACTGTATGTGTGTTTTACAGCGGGCTGTGACCGCGAGACAGACAGAGACTCATGCTTCTTCTTTTTGACATGTTTATTAGGTTCATATCTGAATTTACAAGCTAAACAGACGACAGGTGACGGACACATTACTCTCTAAAAAAAACACCAGCATCAGTCCATTTTACAAAAAACAAAACAACAAAAAAAAAAAAGCATTTAAGAACACGTCTTTCTAACAACTTTCCATCACATTCATACACACACACACACACACACACACACACACACACACACACACACACAATGAGAGAAAATCTCAAGCTTTAAAATGGTCTCAATGTAAGTACTAAACTATGGAAAGGTAAACACTAACACACCCATTTATTATTATTATTATTGTTATTACTTAGATTAAAGTTTAGGGCACACACTGGATGATACAGCACATACCCAAGGAGAAGAATGAGGCTAATGTGCAAATTTACCAGTAATGGCACTTAAAAGTTTACCGTGTTGTACCATGTGTCATTATTGGAAACATTGCAACAAACCCGTAGCTACACTCCAAACAAACTCGCAGGGGATACACAGAAACACATTAATGGTCAGATGCAATGCTTAAAGCAAAAGTCCAGACCATTTAAAATAAAGTACTGCAGAATGGTACCAAACAAGTAATAACTTACCTGTTGAAGTTAAATTTTCAACAAGCGCAGTTTGAAGAACCAGAGATTATTTTGACCAGACTGAGGTGAGAACAGCAGTCTGAGCAGGGCCAAGACCAAAGTGGATTCACATTTGTATTTCCATTCTTTACATTGAATTCAATTGTCAGCATGGGGCTTTGTACCTGCAGAAATAACCTTTTAACAGCAAACACATTTTAGGACGTTAGTTTTTGGTCGTGGTCCTCCTGCTCAGACCAAATGCTCATTCATCAATCCAGCCAGAATTAAACTCCATTTCCCATTCACATTTACTTCAACAGATCTAAACTACTGCTTTAAGTCTGGTGGAAAAGAATAAAAAGAATGGACGCAACTCCAAGTAAAAACAGACCATTTTCCCTCCCCCTCATCTGATTCTGACATAAAGTAAACTTCCCTGTTGGTGAACTTCAAACAGCTCATGTACACCAGATAAATCAAGTGGAAAAAGAGCTATTCAAAGTATTTTTCTCAACTCAGTACTTCCTCTCTTACTGTGGATAACCAAATGGCTTAAAATAATAGGAAAGAGGGTCAAAGACAAGTTGCTTTAGATAAATCTACATGTTTAAGAAGAGCGGGGGGGGGGGGGGGACTTCACCAATATGAGGCCCAATTCTAACACTGGTGGGAAGACACGCTTTGGCAGAAAGCATAAAAACAATATCTACATGATTTACTTGTTCAAGTCAAACTTCCCCACCTCTCAGGAGGGGGCAGAAAGGTGGATCCAGGCATCACAAACCAAACATGCCCCCCCAAAAGTGCTTTTAAAATAAATACAACAATCTGTGAGTGTGTTCCATAGATATGCACACATTTAAAGTTAGCTCCTGCCCTGAGAAAGAGAAAAAAGAAATAAAGTGAAGCCTGATCAGCACGAGCAGAGACATTTCATCGTCTCGCGACTCTGGTCACAAGTTTCCAGTTTTGAATGTGGTTTATATTATTACAAAAAATAAAAAAAAACAAAATGGCATCAAGTTTAAAGGAAATAATCACATTTATGGTTACCTAGGCATCATTTTTTACTAACAATGTTTATAGTTCATTTAATAAATCTTACCTATTTTTTCCTCATTTAAATCTTATTTTATTCATAAAGCCTTGCAAAATTTAACGCTCCACTTTAGATGCTTTGTTACTTGCAATACTTGAAGTTTTACCCCAGTAGGTCTTTAGATATTTGATTCTGTAACGCTTTTAGCATTTGTCTTTTTCCACATGTAGATATTTTGGATGAAGTGTAGAAATAAAGTAGTACCGTTTAGACTGACAAAAACTAAAAAAAGGATTGCCATATATACCGTAGATTTACCCAGTAATCATTGTTGGTGTCAAAAAACGACAGAAAATACAAATAAAACCTAGAGTTATGAATGTTACAAATACTACACAGAACCTGAAAAGAATGCAGCGAAGACGTATCGCCTTTTCAAGATGGACCTCCAAAATCTGTTTCAAAAGACCCTTTTTTTTTTTGAAGATTCAGATTCAGAATTAATTTGAAAACAAACTTTCATCAATAAATGTTTAGCTGCAAACAAAATCCAGTGAACAATTGGTGAGCTTTAGAATAAATTTAAAAAATCAATAATTAAATATTTGGAGTAGTTTTGATATTTTGCTTGGTTTTATGATTAAAAGTTTGCACATTATTTTTTTAAATCGTTAACATAAATCAAGCAGTTATAAAGTACACTGATGTGCAACATAAAAACTGAATACTGATGATTCAGCAGTAATTTTCTTTTAATCTAAGTTAAAGTGCTTTTGACATGCATTTCCTACAAATACAAATATCGGAAAAAAACATCTTATTATTTAAGAAATTTGGCATAATCCACAAGATTTTACCCATTTTGTCACATAACTGGTAAGTTTTTGTTTTGAAAGTGGCACGGCCAAAGAGAAACAGGAAGTTATGACAAAAGGGAACTTCCTGGTCTGTTTTTAGACAAACCCCGATTCTTCTTCGTTCCTCTCCGATAATGGCTCCAGATAATCTAAAGAAACATCAGATTCTTTGCTACCATCTGTGTTGTTAGCCAATTGTAGCAATGCTCTGTTAACATGCAGGTGTTCATCTTTGTCATCACTTCCTGTTACAGAACATGCATACATCTCAACACTGTTCATCTTAGTGGTACGAGTTATTTTTGCAATATGTTAATAAAGTTATTTTTCCAATAATTAATTTGTATTATCACAGAAATTTGATGTCACAGGCTTTCCAAGTTTGAGTTATGACTTCTTGTGGCACTATTTATCTGCAGGTTTTGTTTTGCACACACACATTTAAACGCCTCAAATGTGACAAAATGCATGTGTTCACATTTTATCAGGACTTGTTTTGTTTGACAGTCCAACCATCAAAGATATCATTAAAGCTGAGAACAGAGCAGCTAAAATTAAGCAATAACTAAACATCTAGGATATGGATATGTACTTTCATCATTTATTTATTAGTGCTTAATGGTTTTATTGAGAAATCTTGTTTTCTGAGTTGTTTAGCTGAAAATCTCTCAGAGGAAAAAGTTGAAGAAGTTTGAGAAAACTAAAAAAATATGAAAGTACTCGAGTGGTAATAAACCAGCGTGATCTTTAAGTAAAATTGTACGGAAGACTTCCTGCCGACAACTAACACACATTCACCAGACGCACATCTTTGTACTTCCATACTAGAAGCAAAGAAACTGGAACTGATGCTGGACTATTAACAAAAACACAGACATCATTATTGCCTCTTTCAACAGAACACACACACACACACACACTGCAACCTGCAAAACAATACTCTTTCCATACATTGGATTTATTCCAAAAATAGATATAATGTTTATATATAATGTTTACATTTATATTACGTTTACATATTACCAAGAATAGTCACAACCTAATACAGGTTCAAAATTCACAATATTACATTTACGGAGGGTGGTTTGAACTGGTGTGTGCACATCATTACTCTGTGTGCGACTTAGGAGTTTTGTTTTGTTTTTTTGCTTGTTTTTATACGCGTGTTGAATGCTTGTGTGTTCATGTGTGTGTGCGCGTGCGTGTGTGTGTGTGTGTTACACAGGTGTGCTGTCTTTGTATCTACATGCCCCTCCTTAAACCTGAGAATACACTCCGTACTTTAAACAGAGCTCAAACACACACAGACACACACGCACATCTACAAACATGTATACAGCAGCACGCACACACACACATCCTTCTAATGTGAAATATAATTCTCCCAAAACCAGATGTTCCAAATAATGGGAAAAATATTTCTTTCCTGATGATCAAAGAGAATAAAAGCGGTTTTTGACCGAGCACGTCGGTAGAAATGATTACTCACACATAATATTAAAATGTCTGCACGTGAAAAGGCTGAAAACAGTGGCGACGATTGTGGTAACAAGCCCGCTTAGCAGGAATCTTGGCTAATAATTTGAAGCCAGTTTTTATTACCGAGATGTAAACAGTCACAACCCGTGACAGAAGAATAAACTGGGCTTTGATTTGAACCTAAAAAGTAAACGAATGCAAATAAATCTGAAATTCTAAATTGACTGAGAAGTGAAATGGCAGAATTATGCATTTTCCTAAGTCAGGTCCTGAAAAGTCCATATCTAGCTGTCTGGCACAACACATTTTCCATTGAAGCACTTCAGTTTCAGTTATGTCGAGAAGGCGCATCTAAGACATCAGTAGAACCCATATACACGTGTGTTTTCCAGCAGAAATGCTGTTTCACCTCAGAACTGAAGGCCTTTTATTTACTTACATGTTTTTGGACACAACAAAGGGGCATTGGGGCGCTGCTAACAAGAAGCAAAGGGGGCATGGCTGTGCGCTGAATGAAAAGATATGAAGCGTGTGCCTGTACTGCTTCGTTAGGCCGGTCCGTTGGCAGAGGACTTCATCTCTCTGTATGAGAAAAAAAAAAACGGGTCAATAACTCCATTTTTATTTTGATGGCCGTGACATACTAAGATCGATTAGCATCACTCATATGCAATGATTGTGAATTGATTCTGGTTTAAAGCACAGAAGCCACTTAAATTTACATAATTATCTATACAAAATATTTTCATTCATATTAAGTCGTGCAATAGAGGTTTTACTGGAAATTTGCTTCCCATAATGCACTAATGGGCCAAACGGGCACATCATGCAAGGTACTGGCACCCTTTCATGAAATTAGATTATACACACAATAATTTTCTGATGTAAACATGATCAATACCTTCCTTTGAATACGAAACTTTGATGTAAGAAGCATTTTCTATTTAAAAATTTTTTAAGAGTCACTTTGCTGCATGATGTAAACAAGTATTAACTTTAATCATACAAAAAAATTCCATTAAACGGTTTTAATTTTCTGGTAGAAAAGCGGCTATGATGTCTTATTAATGGCATGAATAAATCCTTTACAGTGTCTTTGAACACATCGTGGTACAGATTGTCAAATCTGACTCAATCCAAAATAAGATGAAGAGACACAGCTGCTCATAGCTGGTTTAGTGAATGATTGTTGAGAAATAGAATGACTTAAAAAGTCGCATTAATCAGTGGAGTTACTTGTAATTATTCTACACATTTGTTTAATTTTCAAAGCTATGAAAAAAAACCTTCTAAATTAAAGATTTATAAAATAATATACACTTCATATAAATAAACTTTTGCCTTTAAAAAAAGGTGGAATTGAGGATAATATCGTAACAACGTTTACTTTTTGAGAAGATGCAGCTGATAACTGACCTCAGACTCATTTAAATTACTCTTATTCACTGACCGCTGAAGACACACAGCTAGTTTCTGTAAATACGAAACACTGCTCTTCCTGTAGGTTTGTCAAAGGCAGTGGCGATTTTAGCCTCTTTTTAGGGGTGCTGAAGCACCCCTAAACTTTAGCTTAGCACCCCTAAAAATTTTAGAAAACCATTTTGTAAGGAAACTCGGTTCTTAAACTTTAGATTCACCAAAATCTTGAATAAATATGGAATGACACGCATTAAACGGGCCAGTAAAATCTATGATTTATTTTTTTACGAGTCGGATGCTGAGCGCCAGCTGTCAATCATTCCAGTAAGCTCCTCATCTAACCAATCGGTGATCGCATTTGTCTCAAAGGGAACGCCCCTTACCTTCAGGCGCTGCATGTTTTTATCTGACTGCGTTGTCGGGGTTTTGTATTACGATCGATTTGCGGTCTGAGCGATTTCATTTAAAAAATATATCATTGGAAAAAAATGTCTAAAGTCCAGCGGCCGACCTCATGAGCAGCTGAATTTAACAGTGATCAACAGAAAATACCTCATGTTCACCTGTACAAAGTAACTGCAAGTAAAATCCTCCATTTTCTGTCATAATCACTTCGTATATATATATATATATATACTATATGGGTAATTAAAGTTTAATGCTAAAGCTAGCTGTGCTTTGTTTTGTGTGTTAATGTAGATATATGTTGCAACTTATTACAGCTCCATTTCATATTGACTAGTGATTTTTTTATCTTAAAGTTAGCTTACACTACATCTCTTAAACTGTGGTGGCTAGCTAGAAATTAAAAAGTTAGGTAGCCTACTTTATGCCACTGCGTTATATGTAGACCTACTAGTGACTTTTTAAAAAAAAGTTTAACCTTAAGCTACATTTGTTTGCCTGTGAATAGAAATTTGATTTGTACTTTAACTTTGATAGGCCCACCTCATGGAGAGTGAACTGAAACAGTGGAACAGCAGAACCCTGACCCATAATTTCTACTTTTCCATAGATGGACATTCGCTCTTTCTTTAAAAAAATAGGCCCACCACAGCCAGGTTCAGGTAAGGGAATATAAAACATCCCCACTGAGCAGCCTAGTAACCCAATATTAAAAAAGCAAACATGTAAATATAATGTTGATGAGTGTAACCTGCCTGTACTTATTGGATTGATAAATTATTGACATTACTTACTGGTTGACACTGACAGCACAAGGAGGAGGAGAGGAGGATAGAGAGCGAGCCCAGGAGAGAGAGCAAGATGAACCAGGTTAGAAATAAAAAACAATCGTCAAGACCATTGCATATATATTTTTTAAACACATTTATGAGGGAGACTCATATTATCTGCACCTTTTTTTCTAATGGCAATTTGCTGACTATTTGAAATTGTGAATTACAAACAAGTTATTAATCTATTTGCCTTTGATTGATACATTTGATTTATATGTGTGATCAACATTAAAAGCTTTTAAAAATGTTTAGACCACCATCTACCTTGTGGACAATGTTTTTTGAGCCATGAAGGCAAGAACAGTCAGTTATGTTCAAGTTTCTTTATTGTCATTCACATCACATGTGGTATGAGGTAGAACAAAATTATGTACACAAGGTCCCAGTTACATCCAAAAATAGCAAAAGTATAAAATATAAAAAGTAAAGGTATATAAGGATCTAAGATATGCTAAACTGTACTTTAAACGGTACGCTAAAACTTCTAAGATATACTCTGTTGTTGCAGTCGTGAAACTACTCACAGTCAGTCACCTGGATTCATGGTAAAATACCACTACAGTACTTTTACTTAGATGTATTATTTTTCAGGTTATAAAATTGTTTAATCTTCCCCAGCCTACTTCAGAGCAATTATTGCATTAGACTTTTGCTTTTGCTGTACTCTTTATCAGAGAATTAAAACCCAAAAAGTGATACAATGTTAGATTTGTCATGCAATATTAATTTATTTTTCACTTATTTTGGACAGTTCTAATCATTATGATTAAGCCCTTCAACAACTTCCTGTGGGAACAATAAAGTTCTGTCTTATTTTTTCTTGTCTTCTCAGTTTATAGACCTTTTGCCTTTGTTTTCTGTGATGGTTCAGAAACAAAACAGAAGTTTAAGAAACAATCATCTGATCCATTGAAATAACTGTTTACTATTGAACTTATATGATCGCCGTGTCATTCAAGCAAAGAGCCATTTTCAGCACTGGGGGCTAAGCACCCCTAAAGGTCAAATCCTAGAATCGCCCCTGGTCAAAGGTCGATGAATTCTTGTTTTGAACCGATTTGTGCAGGATTTTTTTGCACGATGATAAGACAGTAGTTCATCGGTTGAACGCAACAGCTCACAAGTCATTTCGGGTCACAGCCTTGTCCAGCATCAGCGGGAACAAACTTTACATTAAGAATCAGAAATTATCTTCTAATTTAACACTTTCAATACTGATTTAAAAAAAACTGAATCTCCATTAAATGCAAATTTGTCTCCATCACATTCAAAGTAGCTCTAGTACGTCAAAGCTTTTTAGAAAAGAGCCACTGACATTCCTTTTGTGCTTTTTAAAAGTTAGAACTAGGGATGCACAATATTGGATTTTTGGCCGATATACCAATATTTTAAAACTTATTTGACCGATACCAATATTTTATATACGTTCCTTTGTCAGAACATATCTTCTTATTTAGGATTATTTGCTACAAAAAATGTGTAACAGCTGTAAGAGCTGGTGACATATTCAGTAACAGTCATATAATATGCAGAGCACTTTAACTTATATGAAATGAAAAATGTTAAATGTTATTTATTAGCATTAGTCAATTGCGATGCTGTCTCACTTGTGGAGGCTTGTTCCAGGTTCTTAGCTGCAGTGTGGGATCCTCTGCACTCTAGTGCATGAAGGACAGACTTTTTAAGTTCAAACTTTTTGTCTATCCATTGTGCCGTAAGACTAATCATGCTAACGTGGCTAACACTTGATGTCTGTGGTAAAACTCACCCAAGTGCTATCAGCTATTAGCTTCTCAAGGACGTCGGAAATGACGGCTTGTAACTCGGGTAAGGCTACGTCTGAAAAATATCTCCAAATGGGGACGATGTATCGAGGCTCAATGTAGTCCAAAAATCTTCAGAATCCGACATCCTCACCAATGAAAAAAAACCTTCCACACCGCCGACATTTTGACTTCCTCTCCGCCGTGAAAGCAGGTAGGCGCACGTGACATCACGTTGTGCTGCCGCTGCAGGCATCCTTGTCACCGAGTTGTCATACAAAAACAGCGTCTTTTATATCAGCGAGTTATTTTGATGGAATGGCCGATGTCCAATATTGAACTTTAACGCCAATATCGGCCGATACTGATGCCGATAATATTGTGCATCCCTAGTTAGAACCTCATATTTGGTGATCCTACCCCTCCCCAATTTAGCTGTATATAAAATAAACACACACACTCACACTCACTGTGTGGCTGCAGATGACTGGTTAGCTGAACTGGCGATAACAGCGCTAGAAACATTTTCATGTTTCTTTTCTTTCTCTTCATCTTTGTCTTTGATGGACAGTTCCTCTACAGGCACCTTATCTGCTTCACTGCAAAAAAACAAAAAACAAACCTGTGTAAACAAGATCAAGTTATTCTGATTGTCAATGAAATCATGTAGAAATAAAGCAGATGCTCTTTTTTGTTGTAACTGGTCATCTTGTCTGGACTCTTTCCACTCTTGTTATTTCTCTGCTGTGGATTGTGGCTTGTTCTGCCAGCACTCAGGCAGCTTACACCAACCCATCAAAACAAGACGTGTGAAGGTTTCTACTCCTGTTCTCAAGTTCAAAGTAACATCGAATTACCTGCAGCATGCTTGTTGGTTCACTGTTAGTAATATGTTAATAAAGTGATCTGTTAGAATGACAAAACGCTGCAGTCTTTGTTCATGGCATGCTAAGTTACAGATTGTTAGTTGTGTGGGGAGCTCTCAAAGAAACTACATCAAAATGACTCAACTAACATCAGTCAGTTATCATACACAACATTTATCTTATGATAGAAAATCTAGTTTTAGGAGAGTCCTGTAGGTCATCTATAAGGGTTAGTGTAGGTTTCTTCGTGAATTTGACCGTATCTGAATTATGAAACTGAGGAATTATTACTCCACAACCTGTGAAATGCAACAAGCAAATAAAAGCATCTTAAATCAGGAAAACATTCCACCGGTCAGAGACAGGCCTTCGAGCACAACATACCGTCTGAACGCAGGTCGGAAAACTCTGGATTCAAGAGAATGAGAGAAAGGAGGGAATACAAAGTTGGAGGGTGATATCAGGGTCAAAGTGGAGGAGGAAACAGTAAACTTGTAAAAGGAGGAAAATGTTTGGACAGAGGTCTCTGAACAAGCACTTGGACACACTGCATCAGACAGAGCAGCTGCTCTGTGTGTGAGAGAACGAGCACCTTGTGAAGACCGCCCTCTCATTTTTGGCGTCCACCGTAAGCCGGATCGTCTCCTTGCCAGCACCTGTGGTGATCGTCTCTGTTGTGACCGTCTCACTGGATGTCGACTCGGCCTTTCCTCCTTCTTCATCGCTGTCCGAGCCGCTGGAGGACGAGCTGTCCGATGCCACGAGTGGAGCTTTTCTCGCCACACATGCACTCCACACGCAGGCTGTGTGGTGGAAAATACCACTCTTTAAAACCGATACACAAGGATCACACACACAAAAAAAGTCCAAGTAGAGATATGGAACTGAACAAATTGCCCCTCACCCCATTTCTTTTAATCCTCACCCAATCAATCATCACTTCAACTGCTATGCTAAAGTAGAGGCATGTGATTATTGTCGTTTATTGAAAAAATTTAGTAAAACTTAAAAACTCCTGTAATGAGTTTAAGCTTGGAGTGGAGTTAAAACTATGGGAAAATTGAAAGTACCGGTATATAAAAATTGAACAGGTGCTATATTTTCACAAAATGGTTTCAGTTTGGATTTGCTTCATTACTCCTTGTTGTGTACATCATACTCCAGGGTTTTACACATACATTAACATTTACATGTCATTACAAAATATCTGACATATTCACGAGCTGAACAACTGTTCTGGAGGTACTTACGATTTGGGTTTAGTTTGGTGGTGTCTGATCCACTAAGCTCCGAATCCACAGGTGAGCTGCATCTGGGGCCCGTTTCAGAGCTGAAGCATTTGAGTTGCACAGAAAAATTACACCAGAAAATATACAGTAATATTAACAAACTACAATGTAAATTACAGTTTCATGGTGTTTAATAAATTATTTTATCATCACATAAATTATATATTTGTGCCTAATCAAGGGAAATGCATTGATATTTATTTGCATTCACATTAATACTCCTAATAACACAAAGGTCAATGGTATTTTATTACCACAAAAGTGACTGAATTCCAATTTTCTGTTTTTCTTAGGATGAATCTTGTTTTAGAACAATCACGAACTTTAAATTGAAGTCAAATTCTATCGTGCCAATTGTTTTTAAAACACTGATTATTATCGGTTGTTAAAACCACCTCACTGGTGCTAAAATGAATTGTTTTACAATATATCAAAGAATATTGCAGAATTATTATTTGAATATTCAAAGCAAATACTTTTTCTCCCCCAATATTTTATTCAAATATCGTCCTCATGCTGAAGCTGAAACTCACCAACAGAAAGGCTGAAAGTCAGTGAACTTGGCCCAGCCTTTCTCCTCAGCCTCCCCTGAAGCTGGTTGGGAAACTGCCATCTCCCAAGCAGCAAAGGCCTCTCCAGCAGCAGGAGCCTTAGAATTGACTTCACCAAAATCAGCTACCCATCCAGTGCCTGAGAATGAAAATAAAACTTTCTGTAAAACATTTAAGATAAACTTCATGGAAGGCAAATCATGCAGCCATACAAGATCAAAGATCTCACCTGCAGTTGCTTCTGTCTGCCCCTGACTTGAAAAAGGATCAAACACATCTTTATTGTCCTCTTCCTCAGAGTCCGACTCTGTGGGCTTGTCGGTACTGGAAGCTGCAGTCTCATCACAAGACTTACTGGCTGCTTGGCTTTGAGAGGACTGTAAGCCACCAAATCTTAAGAAAAGACGACATTTAAAATGAACATGCATCAAACATATTGCTGAGGCAAATCACTTTGAAATAGGTTTGTGTCTACCTGTTCCTTGACTTGGTTTGTGTTGCATAGTTAATTTCTTTCTCCTCCCAAATGTCCTCTTCATCATCATCAAAAGGCTGAATCCTCTCTTTGGAACAGGCCTCAAACACAGCTGTGCCAGCCTGCAAAGAATGGGAAAAACAGATTACTTCTTATCTCATAGTTTAATTTTTTTCCCCCTTCTTAAAAATAAAACGATAAAAGTCCAAAATCATATTTAAGACAAAAAAGCATGGGGACACAAAAAAATAAAATAAAAATCAAACAGACGTACATTGTCTTGACCAGCATCTATGTTGATATTAATCTCTGCGATCCGGTCGAAAGTTGCACTGCAATCAGAGCAAGAATCACCCATTGAGCACAGGAACATTTGGACCCCATGGCACAAAGAAGATCATGTCCGCTAATTTACCCAATGCTGTCATCGCGATCAGTAAACTCCTCATCATTAAAGCCAAACTGATCCACAAAGTTCGCAGTCATCTGCTGGATTTGATAGTCTGAAAAGGCCTAAAGCACAGAACCAGAGCAGTAAAACAGATGGACTAACGACAGAGCCTGAATATTTTGAGTGAGTGCTTACACGCGTGTCTACCTGTTGCACTGTCAGTTCTTTAGGGAAGGGGCTCTCCATATCATCTTCTGAGCAAGGTCGAGGATTTCCAGTACCAACCTGAACATGGAAACATCCACAAATGTCTGTTTCAGTTTGTGCATGATTAAAAAAGCAGTTGTTAAATAGCACAGATGTGCGTCTGTGGGAGTTTTACCAGGTCTATGGTGTTCTTCCTATTAGTCTCAGACAGCGTCTGCTCCACAAAGGTTTCCCAGCGCCCTCTGTAGTCCTCTGGCAGCTCTACATGCAAACACACAGAAACAGTGCTTAAAACATGATCAGAGTGAAGTAAATTTGATTTTTGTGTCACTCCTTTTCCTTAGTGTCACATGTACCTATGATGAGGCTACTAATTTGGTTGTGAACTGGGCCCTTTTCCAGGTTGTGAACCACTGTGTTGGCGATCCTGGTCAGATGTCCCATGTACCCTCTTCTCATGCCTCCTTCTGACCTGATCAAATAGGGAACACACTTAAAAGAAAACATGCTTTGTGCCCCACAAAAATGTAAATAAATAAATAAACACAAAAATCAGGACATCAAATGGTCCTTACTGTATTCTATCATTCCCTTCCCAAGCTTCCAGAATCCTCTTAACAAGGTGGCAGTGTTGGAATAACTTAAGAGAGAAAGAATCTTTCACAGTTGGCTTATTTCACAAAGGCCACGATCCAGTTGATTAAATAGCATTTGGTTTAAAGCAGAATCAGTGAAACCTACATGAGTCACCAATAAGTTGTGTGCAGAGTTTTCAGAGGGGTCTGATGATTCACAAGTTGGGACCTCACTTGAATTGTCTTCTTGTACTGCGTCTTGGGGTTTGGATTTTTCCTGTGAACCAAAACCAGGCTGCAGCCTCATTTCATGGACGCAGGGACGGACGATGGCGGCCACACAAAGCTCCACTTGAAGGTGTAGGAAGTTGTTCCAAGTGTACTTGAAGAACAAGTTCTGAAACAGGGCATACATTTCACACAAGATCGTTAAACATCCGTCAGATGGTGAATAAGAAGAGCATATGTTTTTCTCATCTCACCAAAAGGAGATCCAATGTGTTGAGTTTGCAGAGCTCTTGTGCTACGACTGCATGGCTAGCAGAGCTGGTATAAAGCAGAGAGGCCACTAGTCTGGCTACATGCAGACGTGTGTTCCCCAGTGGCTCCTCCAGCACACCCAGAGTAGTCAGCATGGGATCTTGCTAAGAAACACACCAATATAAATATTGTTTAAACATTTAACAACTTTAAAATGGCAATTGAGTAACACAGGATTGCAACTTTTCTACTGAAAAAACTTTGGTACATAGAAAACGACTTTAGATTTAGTTCGTTTTACAACCTGCTGAGAATTTTAGCTTTGTTTATGTACCTTGGGTGGTTCCAGAAGCAGCTGGTGGAAGTGTATCAAGTGTGGCTGAATAGCCAATAAAATACTGCTGTTAACAGTGTAACTTCTCTCAAACCCCTGAGCATCCATCACACCATCCACCCTGTCATAAACACAGAGGAAAAAACACACACAGTAAACATGCTGCTGATCTTTTCCCTTTATGCTGCTGTATTCATGTTCCAGCTGCTGTTTTAATGATTTACATTATTAGTGTTTAGAATAGAATAGAATAGATATTAGTGTTTATAATAGAATAGAAACAGCCTTTATTGTCCCATGGATGGGAAATTCATGTGCAACAGCAGCAACAGAAAAAGATTTCACACAAAATTTCCTACATGTTAATAAACAATACAATATATAAAGAAATGAGATAAACAATATCAATAATAATGTTCAATATTTGTTGGAACATTGATAAGGACAGACTATTTACAGTACAGTATTATTGGCAGAGTGTGTGTTTTAGCAGAGGTCAGCATGTACTTTGTATTTAATCTTTACTGAGTTTGTTGGGAGCAGTGACGGTTGTAGAGACTAACAGCTGCTGGGAGGAAGGACCTGCGGTAACGCTCCTTTGTGCATTTAGGATGCAGGAATCTGTCACTGAACGAGCTCTCCAGTTCAGCAACAGCTTCATGCATGGGGTGGGAGACGTTGTCCAGCAATGACGTTATTTTACCTACAGTCCTTCTGTCTCCCACCACCTGCACTGGGTCAAGGGGGCATCCAAGCACCGAACTGGCCTTCTTGATGAGCTTATCTAGCTGCTTCTTCTCAGCTGATGATAAGCTGCTGCTCCAACACACAACACCATAGAAGATGGCTGATGCCACTACCGAGTCAAAGAAGGTCTTCAGGAGCACCCCCTGCAACCCCTGCTTAGCGTATAGCTTGGATGTTTTAGCTTATCGTTAGTGCTTGTTTAGCATATATCTTAGATCCTTATATACCGTTTCTTTTTATACTTATATTTTTACTATTTTGGGGTGCAACTGTGACCTTGAGTACACAATTTCGCTCCACCTCATGCACCACATGTGATGCGAATGACAAAGTACCTTGAACTTGAAACACATTCTTACTCAACAGTACAGCATACAGCACATTATACACCTGTCTGCAAACACAGAAATACAGCAATCTATAGCAATGGCACCGACAAGCAAAAACCTTGTAGAGCCACTGACCTGGATTTGTGACCTTGACCTTAGAGGTGGGGTAATGAAAGATTGTGTGACACACTGTCTAGTGGTGGTACAAATATGTATCAAGTTTCATTAAATTATCTTGAGCAGATCAGAAGTTATAGCCTGGAAAATGAAAGACCTTGCTTTAACTTTGACCTTCATTTGTAACCTTGACCTTAGAGTTCAGGTGATGAGTGTACATGACACGCCATCTAATGATGATGCATATGTTTATGAAGTTTTGTTAAATTATTATGAGTGGATCAGAAGTTATGGCCTGGCCAAGAGAAAATGTATGGGCGTATGTACAGAGACTACCAAGTTTGTCCACTTTCGACAGACCTATAAAAAGAAAACAGCCTACAGAGATTAAACAATCTGCATCTGATCATAAATTTAAAATGATATTAAAATGGTCAGGGGTTGACAAACAAGTGATTTATATAAACAAACCACTCACACAGGCCTCCGAATTTCCAGTAAGGTCAGAAGAACTTGAATCCCGCTGACGATACAGCTTTCAGTCCTCTCTCCTAAAAACATGTTCTGCAGCAGCTGCTCCACACACTCCTGCCTGCAGAAACACATCCGAGTACATCATCGCCTCTGCACCCAGATTCAAAGAGAACAGGCACGTGTGCACGAGCATTCTCTGTGACTTACGATTCTAGCACGGCCAGCAGAGGGTCAGGCTGTGAAATCTCCTGTAGCTGACTGGCCTGGTCTCTGCTAAGACGAATTATGTCGCACAAAGTCTGAGATGCATTTGACTGTCTCTGGAGGAGTTAGCAAAAAAAGGAAACTTATGTTAAGTCTTGAAACATTCCAGATTTTTGAAGTTCGTGTACATTTTAATCATAAAAATGGGGCATCAACTCATAAAAATCATAGCAGTTTTCATCTACCTCTTCGTCTCTCTCGGGGTGAATGAGCTCTATGAGTCTCTGAGCCAGTTTCTGTTCGTTCAGCCACTATTCAGAATAAACAGAACATTAATGTGATACAAAAAACGTGTGTAGATTAAATATACAACAGAGTGACACAATATTTGATTAGTATGAGTCACTTACAGTAAGGGTTTCAAGTCGAAGTGGCGGAGGCTCCACACAGCTAATAAGGCGCAAAAGCACATCCATCATGGCTGACGTGTCTATGTGCTTCAATACCAAAGAAAGGAATTGCTCCTTCCTTCGCAAGAAACTAATTACCTGTACAACACACACAGACAAACAATTAGACAAAACAGAAGACTATTTAGATAAGATTATAGAAAAGAATATGCAACCAGTTGTTGAAAACGAAAAGAAAGTTGTGCTGAAAAAGTGTGATAGTGTCTGAACGGAGACTGGTTTTGGTTTTATCGCCTCAACTGAAATCATTTCCACCATTTTAGAGACGTAGATCATGGCAGATATTTCAAATTCTCCAAATTGCATCAATAACATTTCCGTTCTCTTCTGCCAGTTCCTATGTATAACACAGATGACACTGACTGAAGTATTTGTCCTAATTTTTCTTATTTGTGTCATCTTGTGTCCTTCCTTTTCTGTCCTTCTGCTAACCTTGAAATTTAAAATCAGCTGCAAGATCTTGAAGGATCACTTCAACTACATTACAACTAAATGTCAAGAAGAGAAGGGTACAGGAAGTGTGACCAAGTAAGAATTCATCCAGTGAATGTCCATGCAGAAGTCTCAGGCTTACACAAATAAAAAGGTGGAATATAACATTTCTGCAAGATTTTCTGTCAGACTAAAATGAGGAACTGAGGAGAGTGATCTTGCATGAACAAACTGGGAAATGAACAAAGGGTGACTAAAACTTCCACATATATTGACTAAACCCTGAAAATATAAAATATATCCTCTATCTTATTACATATGCACCTACATAAATGTGCAGTTCCTAACATATAACACTAAAAAGGGACAAACCAAACGAATCTTAACCTGACAATGAACAATAGCTAAAGTAACAGCCAGTCCAGCCAGTAGGGGTCCCTAAAGTTGCATTTGCCAATAAACAGGAAAATCTGTACCAAATATCACAATGTTTACAGCTGCTTTTCAGATTCTTTGCTTTAAATCTGTTGAATAATCAGGTGAACCAGTCCTTAAATCCTTAAGGTTGTTGGCTATTAAAAACTTGCTAGCTTAGTTGTGTGTAGTGGAACATCTGGATGTTGATATTACAACAAAATAAAATGTTTAAAATTATCTAAAGTTGGTAGTCAATCTCTTTGTGAACATCTGAATGTATTGCACATTGGGAACCCTCAGACTAAATTAAATCCCACAAACACAAAGTTTTACTCTTCTATGGGTTTTTGAGTTAGCAAAAGGAGTGAGTGTGTGTGTGTGTTAGAGAGACCTGTTCAGTCTTCCGTGTGATGAGGTTCCCAATAGTCTTGCTAAAGAAAGATGCCAGCAGAGGGTTTAGAGGGGATGGCTGCTCCAGGAAAGCATACAGTGTTTCTAACAGAGGCTCCTCATTACCCAGCTTATCATTGATCGCTCCCACATCACATGTTAGCAGCTCACAGGCTGTATTTGAATACCTGTAATAAATGTAAACAAAACATGTAGTAAAATGACCCAGAAACAAAATCACTGACTTAATATAAAAAAAGTAAAAGTGGATAACTAACACCTTCCATATCTGGACTGAGTTGGCATTTACTGGTGGACTGTTCACAAAAATGTTTACCGGTAATTAACATTGCCGTTTTTAAACAGATCTGAACAGGTTATCTAGATTTTTATTTATTTTATGCACCCTTTTGTAGCTCTTGGTCCATCTATAAAGTGACAGATAAGCAAAATGACAGTGCAGCACCAGCAAAACTCATTTTCCCTGGATGCCCTGTTTACTACTTCAGCACATTTCTCACTAAAGCCCCTACTTGAAGCGCTTAGTCTCGTCTGCACCAGCAGGGGGCTCTGTTGTGATCAGCCGAACCAGCTCCTGCATGCTCTGATCCTGGCACAAGAACTGAAGCAGTCTGGAAATACATAACAAAGGATAGATGAGCACAAATAAGCAGCACTGAAAGGCAAGTGATTGTATTGTGCTGCTGCATATAAGCAAACGCAAGTAATGAGCAGACCTCCTGTTTTGGGCCTTGCACTCCTGCAGCACATCTTCCTCATCCAGGAGCTCACCGAGCGTGACATCCTCCTTGTCCAGCAAAGTCTCCAGATGGGAGGATGTGTTCAAGTCAAACTTCCAAAACATGGCGACCGTCACGAACATACACTTAACTGTTGAGCAGAAGAGAATTTGACTTGGAGATTAAAATTGTAGGCGAGTGGCATGCAGAAGGTCTAACCACCTGTGCCTTGCAGAGACATCACAGCTGTGATTATCTGAACATTCACACGTTAAAGTCACTCATGCAAACACCAGAGCCACAAACTTTGAAGAAGTTTGCATCAGTTCAGTTATGAGAGACAAGAAAACAATAGAGATGTTACAGAGAGCAATTTATGTTCTCCACAGCAAAGATAAAGAACTCATCTCTGGAACAATCAGGAAGCAATGCATCTGTAATTGGATTACTGTACTGCTGCACATTTATGTGCTGACATTACACAGTTGGCTTTAAGACAAGCAAGAAGGACAATAATTTAGAGGAAAAACAACTCCTGCAGTGGCATTTTAAATAGTGTGGGAGGGAGGCAATCACTTTTATGTTGCACAGCTGACATCAGTGTTGCTGCAAAATGCAACTAGGTGTGGTGGTAATCTCATCTGAGAGATGTTACTTCACATATTCCAGAGCCAAACGAGACCACAGAAACAATAGGAAATCCATAACAAAACTGCCAAGGCATACATAAGCACCCAAAGAAACCAGGCTGGAATACAACTTACTGCACATTAACATTATACTAGTACACAAACTGTTGGGAAGCCTGACAGGTGTAAACTATCATTCCCCAAAGCTGCTGTTATTCAAGGGTTTTCAGTCAGTGTAGCTAACAGCTATCATCATCTTCCACGGGCCTTTAAAGCTAGTAGCTAATGTTAGCATTGAAATACATGAGCTACAGCAGGACTGTAAGAATGTCACTTAGCCGATCTGTACAAGTTCATGCAAACTCCCAGCTTTTTCAGCGCCTCTCGTAGATTAAACGAGCCTGCGGAAAAAAATGTCGCTAGCATTCCCACCGTGCTGCGTTCAAATCAACAGCTAACATCATTTACCGTAGCCGGGGGCTACGGTAAATAAATACCGGGACGACTTTCCCTCCGGTTCGAGCTCAATAGTCTTTCGCCAACTTGACAGCCAGTCAGACAGGCGTTGCTTTAAACTGGCATTAGTTTTCCTAAAACGAAGCGACTCTTACCTCTGAGCCATCATTGCAGTCAGTCTGCGAGCTGGAAAAAAAAAAAAAAAAAACACAACAAAAACCCGCCGGCGACCTCGGTTGTCAGGTCACCCGGAGGCCCATAACTGCAGCCTGCTCGTGACTGGGGGTTGTTAGCTTAACGATGCTAACCCTTCTTCCTGGCTGCAATGTCATTTATTACACCGACTGCCGCTTAACGGTGACCGCTCCGCTACAGCACCGTGTCGACAGGCAGCAGTCGGAGAGCAAAACAGAAAAACCTGCTTTCAAAAATCAAAATGGCGGCTACTTAATATATTATTAAACGTTTGGCAGTAAATCAAGAGTACTGTGCAACATCGGTATTTAGTTGCTGTCACCAGGGGCGTTGCTAGTAATTAAGCGCTACAGGGGCAGAACCCCCCACAGCTGTCTCAGTTGTTTTCCTGTAAATGTTCCTATTTATTTTATATTGCCATTTATATTGATGCCAACATAAAAAAAAATTCCAAATGAATTTTTAAATTGTTAAATATCTTAAAATATATAATTTTCTTCATTATATTAATTATGCTGTACCAAATCCCAGACTTAGTCTTAACAATAAACCAGCTTTTAGCTTAATATTTGTTTACTGAGTTATGAAAGAAGGGAGAACAACAAAACAAATCCACATTTCTTTGTTAGAGACAAATTATCTGTGATTAAAACCTCACCATCTGCTCCCCCTGGCGCCCAAAATGGCAGCTCTCTGCTCCACACAGAGGGCTGTGGTAGCTAGGTGGTCTATGGTTGCGTCAGGAAGGGCTTATGGTGTAAAAACAGCTGCCAAGTCTTTGTGCGGGTTAGTTTGCTGTGGTAACCCCTGAAGAAGAGAGCAGCCAAAAGAAAAAAATCCCAGGCTTTTCTCAGGCACACTTCAGTTCAACAGTTTATTAGATAAAAATACACAAACTACAGAACCGATTGACAGATGTTTTTTTTGTTGTTTTTGTTTTGTTTTTAAACAGTATATGCAGCTCATATTAAAGCGCATATACCACATACTTCTTCTTTGGTTTGCTCTGTCCGGGAATCATCACAGTGGATCATTTTCCTTCATATCACCCTGTGGTTAGTTTCCTCCTGTGTTATACCAACCCTCTGCATCATCCCTGAACCTTTTAAGTGATCTTCATCTTATGTTCCTTCCTTCATTTTTAATACATTTGTAATGTGAAACTGTTATGACAATTTTTATTTTTATTTATTTATTTATTTTTATTTATTTATTTCAAACAGACAATAAAAAGTAAAAACAAAGAAAGAAAACCAAAATAATAAGACAAATAGTCATGCCAATTAACATGCAATTTTACAAAATTTGTTCGAAAAGGAGCAGGTAGAAGATCAAGATCTTATGATATCCTGCCCATGTCGTACACATATACAATCATTTTAGTCTCCCCCCACCAAATAAACCATACAATACTCTCACATTAAATGACACTTAAACCTCACATTCTTATTGCTGAATGTACAATTAGTTACACATTATTAACATCAGCAGTAGCATTTTTGGTCTTTGAGACACTCGAACACCCAACAAAGCTGTTAAAGTCAGAGTTGCAGTCAACAGTTGTTCATAGGTCACAAAGAGTATTTATGGAGTAACATTCATCCATCCATCCATTATCTTTACCCACTTCTTCCTTTTAGGGTCACGGGGGTCACTGGTGCCCATGTCCAGCCATCACTGTGCAAGAGGCAGGGTACACCCCAGACAGGTCTCCAGTCCATCACAGAAAAAAAAAAAATTCTTATTACTGATATTCTCACTACAGAGAGCAGGAGGAGTATACCTCCACAAGATATGCTGGTCTTCTCAGCTGTTACTCAGACTGCCTGCTGTAATAGTCAGCTTCATCTTCTTTGCCTTGGCAACTAAAATGGATCTTTGAACTTTTCTGAAAACAATGAAGCATCTTAAGAAAAGAAGCAAAACTTTTTCACAACAGGCAGGCCTACTAGTCTTTAAATTGCTTTTCTAAGACAGGACTGCAACACCTTCAGTGTGCTTGAAGGTGCTAATATCTTGGTTAAGTACATTTTCCCATTCTTCATGTTAACAAAGATCTGCATGTGGGTCCCTACAACATTACCATTTCACAAGAGGCCAAGAACGAGAAAAAAATTATCTTATACACCACAAACGAATAGACCTCCAGGTAAGTCATAACTGTTAAACAATGGTAAATAGACTGTACTTACATAGCGCCTTTCTATCTTATCAAGACACTCAAAGTGCTTTACACTACAATCTGTGCCTCATTGACCCATTCATACAGCACTCTACTAGATCTGTACAAAGCTAATTGAACAAATAATTCTAAAAAGACTAATCAGAGCTTTATCACATTCATACACCGATGGGACACACATCGGAGGCAATGAGGGGTTCAGTGTCTTGCCCAGGGACACTTCAGCATGTGACTGCTGGTGGATTCAAACCCCCAATTCTTGTCTTCTGCTCTAACCACTCAGCCACAGCCGCCCCGAATGAATAAATAAAAATTATAAAGTTCATTATAGTCACTACAAGCATGTGCTGTGCACATCTGCAAAAGTGTGTGTGTGTGTGTGTGTGTGTGTGTGCGTGCGTGCGTGCGTGCGTGTGTGTATGTGTGTGTGTGTGTGTGTGTGTGTGTGTGTGTGTGCAAACTGCCCAAGCTGAAGGATGGTGTTTCTAAACTGTAAGTTTCTGATATTTCAATAGATGTTCAATCAATTTAAAATTGTGGTTTGTGAAAAGCCATTCATGAATAGTCCAATGTTTTTATCCTTAACTCAAAGGATATTCTCCCCCATAAACTGTGAGGCTTGTCAATGTGCATTTTGATGAATTTAAGTCAGGCTTTTTTAATGCTTCTTCATCAGTAGTGAAGGCTGCGATTTGTTTTTCCATGGATCTCATTACGGTTCAAAATTTTACGGATGTGCCATCAGAGGTACCTTGATCTTGGAGTTCAGCTTGAATGGTTTTGCTTGATTTACTTGGCTCTTTCTTTACCATTCAAACTATCTACCTGATCAATGGGGTTGCATTTCTTGTTGCGTTCGTGTCCTGGGTAGTTGGTTACAGTCCCACGAACCCTGCACTTTTAATCAATATACTGTAAGTAACTGTGGTGACAGGAACCTGAAGCAGCTTGGAGGCGGTTTTCTAGTCTTTACCTTAAACGTGAATATTTATAATCGTTTTAAACTTTGTAGACAGCTCTAGTCTCTGCTCTTTTTGGTCCATTTTCAGTGTGATTAACACAACAATACCAAACTAACCAGTAAAATGTGTTTTCCCTTCGACTAAGCTGAATGACTGATGAAAAGCTTGAAGGCACCTGCAATACTAATTAAGGTTAAAGTAGTGATGGCAGTCTGACACTACCGCTCCGATACAAGATTTAAATTCAGTGCTGTATTTTCCTTGAACCACTGCTTCAAAGCTTGCTTTGGTGTGGAAAAAGACCCATGATCGAAGATGTCACTTCATTCTCCTGAATGAATCCCTTGAATGGTTCAAACCACTTCATACTGCTTCGTCCTGGGAGATGCTTTGCGCATACGCTATCATCCAGCTCACACTCTGTATCTCTAAAAAGCCTTATCCCTGTTACCTGACCAAATGCACCCACAGAATTAACTGAACAATCACCCAATCTTTACAAAAATGTACAAAATTCAAACAAACCCAAGCAATACTCATCACATAATTATTAAATTCTGCTGTCTCTTATTTTGCCACTAGATGTCACTAAAACAAAGCAATGAAAAAATTAACTCGTTTTTCTAAACCAGAAGTTATAATATAGAGTTCGTTCAGTAGTGGTACTGTACATGGCTTCATAT